TTTCCTCTTTGGCCCCATAATCTCCTTGATCAGAAAATTTGGGACACTACCGAGTTACATGACATTACAGTACAAGTTCTCATAGGTCCTGAGTCTTAATTGACCTTGGAAGGCTAGGGCCAAAATGTTGGCTTTCCTTGTGGCCCTCCTTTTTCTCTAATTTTGGTCTGCAAACTTAGGTTGTTAACCCTCCAGAAGACAAGCTTATTGTCTTGTCTTACAAGACAATACAACCTAGGCTGTTAAGCTTAATTAACCTATCTGAATAGCGAACTAATTTTTGTAAATTTTTCATCTGTGGAATGAAAGGAGTTACTGAATAATAAATATTCTAAGCAAATTTTCATGCAATTTAAAATCTTGTCCGAGTTTACATTTGAGATTCAGACTGCTCTATGGAGAAAAACTGGCAAGCTATAAGGTGAGAGTACACTGAAGCAGAGCTGGTCAATGCTGCCATGAAGTTATAAAGACACTTCTCCAGGCAAGGCCACCTTCCCATGGCCTCAACTCTTTCAGGGTCCCTGAGCCATGTCCCCTACCCTCTAAAATACACTGCTCTCCCCTATTACCTGGGATGTCCCCATATCACATCATGACAAGTGAATATGGGGGAAGAGACCTGGGCCCTGCCTCAGGAGTGTGCTTTATCCCTAGGAGAAATGAGCTCCATGTAAAAAAGCCCTAGACACAAACCTGCCATGCTACAAAAAATGCAAGCTGGACACCCATGTGGAGAAGCCTTGAGAACTGAGGAAGTCTGCTGAGAGGGAACACAGACGTTTTTGGGGAGTGGTGGAGGTGGGTTACTGAAACTTGAACCAAACATTTTTGCACTGGGCTACACCCCCAGTCCTTTGCTATCTTGATAAAAGGTCTTGCTAAATTGCTCACGCTAGGTTTGGAGTCCTCTTGCGACAGCCTCCCAGGTAATGGGATTATAAGAACATGTTAGTCAGTGTCCAGCAAGAGAGACATTGAGCTCTTTCAGGCTGTGCAATGTCTCTAGCCAGGTGAGCCCCTCAGAGTGACAGCAGCCATGGCTGAGCCCTGCTCTACCTGTCCAAATCTCAAATCCAGTGTAATCCCAAGGCTTGGGAGGCCAAGGCAAGAACAGTTCAAGGTAAGAACTGCTTGAGTTCACAGCCAGACTGGGCCACATAGCAAGACCTTATCTCAAAAAAACAAAGTACTCGAAAACGAGCAACCCTGAATCAAAACTGCAAAAGAAAAAACAAAAAACAAAAAACCGACTTTTTCAAAAGATAAAAGTCTTACTACATAGCTCAAACTGACCACAAATTTGCAGTCTTCCTGTCTCAACTTCCCCAGTAGTTAGGGTTGCACCATATCTCCTTAACTGTTTTAACCCAATAAATTCTTAGGTAGTTTAGTTCATTAGCTCACAGTAAGAAGTAATATAAGCACAGGAACAGATGCTGTTTTAAAAACAGTCCCTTCTTGTTTGTGTCTGGATATATCCCCAAGCCTCATGTGACCATGAGAATGGTGTTTTCCTAGCAGCTAAGCCTAGAGACCATGACTGGGTCATGGTCTAGAGCTGCGATTAAGGGTGTGAGTGCTACACCTGCCTAGGGCAGGTACCCTGCTTACAAATAAGGGATGGACCAAAGCTTGCTCCCCTCTTCTCTCTTGTTGCTCTTGCTGTCTTCCGCTGCCACCAACAGTTGCCCTTCAGCCATGCCACCCTGCCTGAAGCCAGATGATTATGGATTCAAACCTCTACAAACTGTGAGCTAAATAAACCTCTGCCCCTTTCACTTTGGGTGTTGGGTATTTTGTCACATCAATAAGAAAAGTCACTCAGACAAATCCCGTTAAGTATGTGTACCTATTTCATAAGAATGTAAACATATACTATATACATTAGATCCTCCAAATGTGTACTAAAAAAAAGTCTTTATATTGTTGAAAACATTAAAGGCTATGTATCAGAGTAAAATAGGGTATTTTACATGTTTTTTGCACATCAAAACACATTATTTCCTTAGTCATAAGACTAGATTCCACTATTCAAAGCTTTGCTATGGTTATATGATAAGGCTGGGCCTGGTTTTTTCTTTTTTTTTTTGGAACCAGGGGTTGAACTCAGGCCCTTGAGCTTGCCAGGAAGCCCTTATTCCACTGAGCCATCTCCCTGGCCCCCTGGCCCTGGTTTTCATTTTCAACCTTCATCAGCCGCAAGTCTTTAATAGATTTCTGTGTATTACGTGTAAGACATAAGCAGATGAGAACCTCCTATACCATTTCATCTTAGCAATATTCTAATAAACCTACCTTGTAAATCGAGTACCAGCAGCTCGCCCCTGGTATATTCATAAGTCCAGTGGCTAAAGGCTAGCATCATCTCTTCTAGTGTATTAGTTGGAATAATCTCGTCACCATTGTTATTGTTGTATTTTCTAAATTCTCCAGTCATGCATTCTTCCACAGCAAACCACTGTCCTGCTGAATGGCAATACAGCAGGAAAACTTCAAGGAACCTTATAAAAAAGTTATAGGTATTACTGGCAGCTTTGACAAGATTCTAACTGAGATGCAAAGTGGTAACAAGTAAAACATCCACCATCAACAATTAAGGTCAAAAGACTTCTACTCAACACTAGAAGATCCCAGACAACTGTTAAGGGTTTACCTTGGTGAATATGGTATGGATTTGGGTTTCATTTGATTGAAGGCAAATGTGAGCTTCTGGGCTGCTCTCTGTTGCTGAATTTCCTGCAGAAGGAGAAGGGAACCCTTGATGAATATTTAAACTAAGATTTTATTTGGCTTCTTCACACTTTACTGTCAAAATAGGAAGTTCAAATTGTTTCCTCATTACACACCCACTGGCACTTACTCTGAGACAGAGATGCAGAACTGTATCTTCTCGATAAATACTTGACCATGTGTTCACCACCTCAGGAAGAAAAGACTTGATGATATACAGATGCCCTGATTTAAGGATATCGTGTTCTGACCACGTGCACTGCACTTTGACAGCTCTCCGCAAGCCGCCTCCCATCTCCTCTTTACTTAAAAACTCTATCTTGGCACAGAGACCCAGCTGTGACCAGGAAGACATGCTGTTATGCAGTATGCTGGGAGAGCTCTCTTCCAAGCGGTACACGGTGACAGGCTCACCTGCAACACCAAGGGCAGAGTTTGAGACCACATTACACCTCCCTACAACACAAAATAAGTATCTTAGTGCAGTTTTTATTTTTATTTTTTCCCTAGTGCAGTTTCTTAAAAAGTTTAGAGTGGCAAATGATAGGAAATCAAATACACCTCAGTATATCTCTAAATTCATAAACAGAAGCTCTTATAAAGCTATGAGCATTTTGTGATAAACTTTTAGAAAGCAAATGAAATCATAAGCACTTGTGAATGAAAGTTTATTTTTTGAGAGAGGGTCTCCCGATGTAGCTCAGGTTCACCTGGAACTTACATCTGTCCTCCTGCCTCAGCTTCCTGAGTGCTGGGATGACAGGCACTGCCACCACTCCCAGCTCTGAGTGAAACTTTATTTATTTTTTTTGAGTAAAACTTTAGATAGCAGTTTAGGAACATCTGTTCCACAGATGTCAGGTATTGTTTGCTTGTTATGACATAATGGATTGTGAATTTTTCTAAATTAGAATACATATATTTGTGGATTTACATCAGTAATAGAGAAATTAAAAATTTCTATGCTTCCTTCTAATTACATATACATCATGCATGCAGGGGTCAGACTAATTAAAAATTTAGATGACATCAACATTCTTAAGTGAATCAAGATCAGGGCAGGGTCTACTTTTATTTCTGGCTTTACCTCTTGGAGGCACAGGTGTGAATGGAATGCTCTGCGATAATCTCATCAAGTTATTTCTTTCCACAGCTGCATGTAAACGAGAGAAAAATAATGAAGTCTCTAGTAGTATAAAATATTACTAAATTCTGTTTTAGCATTACTGACCTGAATAGTGGTAATTTGTATCCATCACTGGCTTAAATGGAGAAGCGAGACCTAAATGACAAATAAGCAAGTGAGACTATTGTAAAAGTTCTAGTGCAGCCTAACTTTTTGTTTAATCTCCTACAATCATCTTAAATTTCCCTCATGTCATTTGGCTCACAAAAATAGAAAAACCAAGTCATAAAATCTGCCTTTCATGTGCCACTCTGTCCATTTCCTTATGCCAGATTTGCACCAACTATGCCCTGAAACCTTGGAAGGGAGGAGCCTGCGACCGTTCCCACTCTCCCAGTGCCTGCCGTGGACGCCATCTCCCTACTACCCCCACCCAGAAAGAATTCTTTTCACATTGCACCTTTGGGAACTGGGACTACAGCCATGGTACTATTATTTTAGCAGCTCTACCACAAGAAGATGAACTTTGGAATATAAAACAGTCCTGCCTCCATCCTTCACCTTTCTGAGGTATTTTACTTTGAAATGTAGCAAGAAGAAAGATGGAGAATGAGTCAGACCTGCTAGAGGCAAAGTTTCTTTTCTAGATGTGCCTGAAAAGGCACCCACTCTCTTGGGGGAGAAAGTGGCCAACAGCTGTAACTGGACTAAGTGTAACAATATTAGTACAGTATAAGGACTATAGTACAAGGACAATACAGGAGAGGTACTTAATCGCCCTGGCTGGGGAAAGGTTTAAGGATATTTCAGAGTTATTCAAAAGGCAGTGGATTTTAGGGCTCCATGTTCAAAGGCAGGGAAGTGTTAAAGTACATGCTGCATTTTGGAAGCTGCGAGCAATTTAGCACAAATAAAACAAATTATCTATGAATCAGAATGGCCTTTGAATAGACACTCCCCGGGTTCTCAACCTCCAATAGTCTAACCTTATAGGTATATGTCATCAGGTAAGTGATTCTCCACAAGTGACCTGAATGTGCAGCCAAGTCTAAATTAACATGCATACCTGGAGGAGGTAATGCTATATATAGAAGCAGGAACTATCAGACTGGTAAGAACCTGAATACACCATGCAAAGGAGGAAAAAAAGATTTTCCTAAACAACAGTGAGAAAGATGGAAATCAGAGAGTGGCAAGATCAGATCCTTTAGAATAATAACTGTAAAATACAGAGTAGAACTCTATGGCAGGGAGCTCAAACTGGCATCCCACTCTGAAAATCTATTTGGTAGGGCTTACTCCAAGTGAGTAAGTAACCAGTAACTCTACCTTTAGGCATATAACCAGCAGAAAGTAAACACTTGTTTCCCAAACAGTAAGAACAACAAGGTTCATAGCAACAGAAATTATACCAGCTACACACTGGAACCTAAAAAACCCTCATCTAAGTGGAATAAACTGAACATGTTCACACAAGGAAACACTACACGGGATATACAAACTGCCACTATGTACAACAGTGATTAATCTCACAAAAATATGACAAATAGATGACTGTACTTACACAGAGAGATAGACACTAGTCTATCGTATTAACTACAGACAGGTTGAAATAAGAAGCCCCAAGAGCTGGGACAGTGACAATACTCTGAGTGCTGAGATGCCATGGGTATACTTAGTGAGCTCATTGAAGGCTCATATGCACTATTTTGTATGCATACTTACAATAAAGATAGTGAAAACTGACTGTGAGCTGAAAGCAGCAGTGGGATACGGGGTAGAGACTAGAGACACTCGGGAGGTAGTGCAGTATGACTGCATGGATGAAAAATCAGATGCTTACGGGTAACTCACTCCATTTCACAGAGCAGACTTTCAAGAGTATTGATCACCCACCAGGAAACACTAAAGAAAGCAGGCTGAATACCCCAGATGAAAGAGCAGGTGACAGAGGAGATCAGATTCACACAGTGAGTGGGCAATGTGTTTGGGACACATCTACATTAAAGAAAAGTTATGTAAAGGAAGAATTTCCCAACTACCTGGAGTTTTCCAAACTTGAACCTAAAATAATGTATTGCTTTAACAGATCACACCTGATTCACTTTTTCACATTCATTCTACTACAAGGACTCACCATTTAATGATTCTTCTGCAGAAGGCCTGAAGAAACATAAAAAAAAAGTTAGCTGTGCCACAATTTTGATCATCACTTAATTTCTGAACTTTATAAACATAACTACTTAATCATCATCAAAGAAATACTGACAGATTCATATTTGTCTGCTGATTGGCCATTTTTCTTTATCTCTGAATCTCCACATAGGTATGTAATATACTTATCCCGCCCTCTTTCTTGCCACCCAGGGCCTCACATGCTAAGAAAATGCTATTACTATATTATTATTATTAACAATAAAGCTATTATTACTTTGATACAGGGTGCCTTACTTTTCTCATTGCTGTGACAAAATACCAGACACTCACAAGTAAAGGGAGGAAAGGTTTACCTGGCTCACAGTTTGTAGACGTTCTTAATCCACAATCAGCTGCCTCTGAGGCAGTGTGGAACGGCAAACAGGCAGTGCACAGGAAAACTAGTTCACGGCAGGCAACAGGCATCAAAGCAAGCAAAGGGCAACTCCAGCTCTTTCCATCCCTTATATCTTATCCAGATCCCTTAGGGCGGGTGGCACTCACACCCTTGAGCCTAGCATCACACCATGAGTCAATCCCAGTGACACACCCTGGATCCAGCCATCTCTGAAAAAGCCGCACCTATCACCACATGAAGCTTGGAGGGACATCTAGATATAAGCCCTAACACTGCACCCCTGGCCCTCCAAAGACTTGTGCATATCCCTTTATGGGAAAGGCATTACTCCATTGCCAAGAGTTGTCAAAGTCCTAACATTTCCAACATTGCCGAGAAGTCAAAGTGCAAAGTCTCCTCTGAGATTTAAAGCAAACTCTTAGCTATCAAGTCCCTGTACAAATGAAAAGAAAGTTACATACTTCCAATAATGAATGGCACAAGATAGACATTTTCATTCCAAAATTTACAAAAGGGGATATACACGTCAATGGACCCAAGTGAGCTGCTCAAAATCCATCAGGGTGAATGTTGAATCTCAGTTTCACTTTCAACATCACTGGCAAACTGTGGCAAGTCAACTCCAAAATGCTGGGGCGGCTCTGCCCTTATGGTATTTCTGATAGCTGAAGCTCCCATGGCTTTTGAGGTTGACTGCTCCCTCCTGTAATTCTCCTCACACAATCCACGTTCTTGGCTTCTCCAAACTTCTGGGGTCTCCTCTGTACCTTCACACTCACAGCTTCTCAGACCCACTGCCAAGCTTCCCGAGGCCTTTTCTAAAACCTGGATGGAATCCTTCTGACCCTACAACTCTTGCATTCTGCATGTACCTAAAACTAGCACCTTATGCAAGATGCCAAGGTCCGCTGCCAACTGAATAGCTGCCAGGCTTCTCTCTCTCTTGGCTGTAGAGGCCAAGTATCTATGAACCAAATCCCAAGGAACAACTTTCCTAGGCTAGCCCGCCAGCCTTAACCTCAGTCTCAGGCAAAGTCTCACCACACGAGTAAAATGCAGACCAACTTTCTGCCCAAGTCATAACACACACTGCCTAGAGTCCAGCAGCCAATGCAGTCCTGCAGTCTTTCTTCCCAGCAGAAGCCTTGGAGCTTAGTCTTTACTGGCATCATTCCTATCAGCACTCTGCTCTTCTGAGCTTCGACCACAGTCTTCCATTTAGTACAGTCTAAGGCAGTTCTGCTCTGCTTTTTCAGCCTGCATCTGCAAACCTTTCCTAACTCTTCCCTTTCCTACCAGCCAGTTCCAAAGGCTCTTGAACCACATGGTCAAGTAGAGTCACAGCAACACCCTCACTCTTGGTACCAAGTTCTGTCTTACTTTTTTTTTGCTGCTGAGATAAAATAACCAAGCTTTGAAAGGTTAATTTATCTCATAGTTCATAGAGGTTTCAGCTCATAGGTTGTTAGCTCCAAGGCAGGGTGGTATGGCAGAGATGCATCATAGAGGAGAAACAGTTCATGGTGGGCAGGAGTTAAGGTAGTAAAGCAAGCAAGGAGTTACCACTGCTCTTTCTATCCCTTTTATTTTATCCAGGCTACTTAGGGCAGACAGCACTCACACACTTAATCCTAGGGTGTGCCTTAGAACCAGTGCTCTGAACCGTGAGTCAACAGCATCACAAGGTGCCCCAGCCACCTCTGAAAATGCGTCAACTATGACTGCATTAAGATTTGGGGAGTCATCTCAACACCAGCAATAATACAGGGCCTAGGTTCCCCAAGTTGGTCTCGAACTCGAAGCCACCCTGCATCAGCCGCTAAAGGAGCTGGGATTGTAAATATATGCCACTATGCCTGGCCACGTGTATCTATTTTAATTCCAAGAGTTCTAGTGCAAATTAAAGAGCCAGAATGAGGGCCCAGGGAGATGGCTCAGTGGAATAAGCGCTTCCCTGGCAAGCACAAGGAAGGGCCTAAGTTCAATCCCTGGTTCCACAAAAAAGAACCAGAATGGAAAGCAGAATGAAATGAGAACCAAGAAAAATAGCTATAAGTTTACCATTTATAAATGGCTCACCTAGCATATAGCCTTGTTCAGCACTTAAAAGCTTAGATCTAAATGGAACTTCAGGAAAACAGGGCCCCTGCATTCTCTTTCTAGTTCTTACATTCCATCTGACCAAAGGTTGACACTTATTTATCATGCTTTTCTCAGCACTGCAAGAAAGCTGACAAACTCCAATCTCCGGGGTACTTTTTTATTACTCCTCTTGGTACTTCTGAGCCAACAGCTTACACAACATTCCCTTGTAAGACACCAGAATTAACATCAATTTCCAGGACCTACTTTATATTTCTATGTCATGGCTTTGGTTGTAGAAGACAATAATCCTAAGAATTGTGAGTACAAATAATCTTCCAAATGCCACTCGGGGACAGAATACCCAAAATGATTTAAATAGTGACTTCCCCATGTAACACATGGCTCATTTTAGTCTCTATATGTTTACTTCTATTTTATGTTAATTTTTATTTTAGAGTAAAAAAAAAAGCAAATAAAAACAAAGACAAACAGCAACATAGAACAATACATGTTACAGGATTTCAAAACAACAACAGAAAATTAACAATGGTCATTATATTATGTATTCTTATTATTTACATCTATTTCAGATTTACAGACAGAATATGTTATACTTCCAAATTGGTTTTCCTTCTCAAGTACACTATACCACAGAGAAATTTTGCCATGTTTCCAGTATCAAGTGGATGTCAAAACAAGTCTTATACTAATTCCTAGGCTAGAAACAGAAATTACCTTTCATCCTTATTCATCAGTATGTCTACACTGTACTAAAAAATCTTACTTTCTGAGGACAATTACCTGTCAGTGTGGCTTCTGCATCTGCTTTTGGTACTGGATGATCACAACAGCTTTCTTGAGTACCTTGCTACAGGCCTATGCATTGTGTACTGTGCACTGCTGCTCTAACCAGAGTGTTTTCTAAAAGCAGTTGCAAGTTTTTGATGAGAATGGCGAATTGAGAAATTAGCGACTAAAACACTAATCTCAAATTAGATCTCTCAACAAATTTATTCAAGAATAAGTGAGAGGGCCAGGGAGATGGTTCAGTGGAATAAGTGCTTCCCTGGCAAACACAAGGGTCTGAGTTCAATCCCCTGTTCTGAAAAAAAAAAAAAAAAAAAGAACAAGCTGGAGCTAGGACTCAGGAAAAAAAGCTGCAGTATCACCATTAGGAAGATTTTAGTAACTGTAAATTCCCCAATCTCATCTACACAAAGATAGGAGATGACAGAATAAATAATCTCCACACACAGATAAAGAGAGTTCAAGATAACGAGTAGATAAATAATATTAAATAGCTATAATTTTTCCGGCTACTACTGAGAAAAGGCTTACTTACAGTTCTCTGTTTGATGGTCTATCCTGTAGCCAATCCTTAGGCAATGAAAAACATAAAGAGCTTAGTCAAAAAATTTCTGGATGAAGCACAACTGTTTCTTGTAGTTTTGTATTTTTTTAAAAACAGACAATAATAACCAAGATAGGAAATTAACAATGGTTATTATATTGTATATTTTTATCTTCAAAATAGTTGCTTAGATTACCAGATATAAGCATGTAAGATTGATCAAACAAGATAAACACTTTCTTTCAATGAATAGTACACGTGTGTGTGTGTGTGTGTGTGTATGCACACTTTCCATCTTTTCTCCTTTCCCTCATCCTAGCTGTTCTTTCTTTTTGAGTAATTTCTTTCCCTTTCACAATGTCTATTGTACCTTCTGGATCTTACTCTTTCAGCTACTTATACTAGGGAGACAATAGAATGTTTACACATGTGGGTCTGATTTATTTCACTTACGAGTATACTCTCTTGTTGCATCCAGTTACCTACAAAAGCCTTGCATTCATCTTTCTTTATAACTGAGTATTATGACATTTTATAAAAATACTACATCTTCTTTATCCATTCCTTGGCTGATGGACATTTGGCAATTATTTCCCAGATTTAGCTTGTAGCTTTTCTTTTTTTTAAAGCAATATGGAAATCAAATCTAAGACTCACATGACTGCCAAGCACTACACTAAGGGATATCCCAAGCCCTATTTCTGTTCATTTATTTGGTACAGGGTCTCACTGTGCAGCTTGGACTCATAGTGATCCTGTCTAAACCTTTCTAGTGCTGGGATCGCAGGTGTGTACCACTTTGCCCCGTTGTGGAGTGACACAGCGCATGCTTCTGCAGCCAGAACAGCATGAGGTACCAGGGATCAAACTTGGGTCCTTGCGCTTGCCAGGCAGATGTTTAGACCACTGAGCTATCTCCCCAGCCCCTCTAAGCCCCATTTTTATGTTTTACGAAAAAAATGTTGAAAACACACCTGAATTAAAATAAACGTACGTAACGAACACAAGGTAGGACAAAATCCCAGGAATGTAATTTCCTTTTTTTAATTTATTTTATTTTACTTTTTAAATTTCTTTAATGTAATTTCCTACCACGTAGTATTTCAAAATTCTTTCTGTTGACAACTTTATTCGTCCAAAATATTTTGGTCTGTGATTCTAAAAAGAGTGCCCTCTGCCAAAAGAACTTCAAGAGTACAACAAGTTTAAAAAATGTAAAGTGAACATTCCAAGACATTCACTAAGGATAACAGGCATAGTTCATGGCAGTTTTTGTGTACACGGGCAGATAGCTTTTATTCCGCAGATTTACAGTGATATTTCTAAGTATGAATTTATCTTTTACTTCTGCAGTTTGGGAGTCATATCTCAATTTGAATTTTTGTATATCTTATCAGTTTGGCAAATTTTAAACCATTTATTCTTTTTAGATTCTACTTTCTCACAGCCAATTAGATTTCTCACATCTGTTTGTCTATAACACACTTTCAATCTAATTCTATTTGCATCTGTGTTGCTTTCTGGTCCAGTTTAGTAATTCTCTCTTTACATGTGCCTCATTTTACTGAATGCCCATTGAAATTGTTTTCAGTTTTGCCAGTTTTTAAATAGTATCTTTTCTTTTTGTCACATTAAGTGTACTTACTTTACAATCTATAGCCAGTACTTCACCTACCTATGAGAAATCTAACACTGTTTATGCCAGTATCTATGAGTTTCCTGAGTTGGTATCACAAGACTATCTTCAGTGTGATTCTGTTGCAATACAGTGCAGCCCAAATTCAGGAAGGATCCCTCCAGAAAGGGATCTGCTACTTGAAGCGCTGCACTGACAAACCCCTTACCCACGGAAATGGCTTTAACAGCATGGTATTTAACAATACCATCTATCAAGGTAGGATCTTATTGTGTATAATTATTTCCATACAGTTGAGTATAAAGGAGTAATTTTTCTACCCTCTCCAGAGCTACTTTGTCTCGGTTGTGATAGTTGGCAAAAATCAAGTATTACCTCAGTTGGCATTCAAACAAAAGGAGATCGGGCCTCTCTTCTGCGAAATTTTTCTTTAAACACTCCTGTATGTTCACTGTAGATGAAACTTCTGTGCAACAGCCACCATGCTCTGATGGACTCCCACCCCCCCAGGTACTTTTCATTTGGTTTTCACAATTTATCATAATAAATCTCCACTGCAGAGATTAGGACACAGATTGTAAGAGTTCATGAAAATTGTTCCAGGCAGAACTACTACAGTATTAAACAGCAGAGCTGAAAACGCCAGCTCTTCAAGCTCCAGCTGAGGAAAATCATGCTCTTCACATGCAGGCTGGAGGGCGTGAGGGCTGGGTGCCAGGACTCAGGGGAAAGATGGGGCCGCCAGAGATGGGGCTCACACGAGGCAGCTGCTTCCAAGTGCGATAGGAGCAGAACTGTCTCTCCGCTCTGAGACAATGGGAAGTGGAGCCAGTCTTTGCTTTTTAAACTCTGAACCCCTTTTGCCTCTTACTTGTCACCTTACATGCTCTTGTGTATTAAAATAAATGAAAACAGTATCAGGCCAGGTGGTTTCAATGACAGCTCCTGAGACACCTTCTGCCACCACCTCCTCACCGCTTGTCCTTAATTATGTAGTGATAGGCAGTTACCTTTTCTACATTTGCTATGTCTGATGGACTTTTAATTTATTTATTTAAATTTTTATTTATTTGTGTGTGTGTGTGTGTCCAGCTCAGCCCACCAGGGGGCGGGGCTGGCTGGCATGTGGTGCT